ATCTGGCCAATACCAATAAGGAGCTGGAGGTTGAGGTGGCTTAGTTGAAGGAGCACCTCAAAATATTGGACGACTGAGTTGCACTGCTAAGAACTGGGCTTTGGTTGCTGAAGAAGTCAAGAGGTCAAAGGGTTTGGAGCTTGCTGATGCCTTGGCGAGGGAGCGGCAAAATAAAGAGAAGGCCGATGTTGACATGAAGGCTTTTGTGGCTGAGTGTCAAGACAAAATAATTGTCGAGCACAAAGCAGGCTTTCAACACACCATTAAGCAAGCTATGGAATTTTTTGAAGTGCCATTTGCCTTATACTTTGACATGATGAAGGACTTTTTCAACAGGAAGTTCCTGAGTTACGACGAGGTGGCCAACGATATTGAAGCAGACACTTGTGCTCCCTGTCAAGCTTGGCCTATTCCTATTGAAGAGGCCACTACCCAACACGAAGATGGTGATGACCGTGTTGATGCTGCTGCGGAGGATCATGAACGAAGGGGTTAGTAAAAACGGTTTCATTTTTATTTTTATTGATTTTGTAATCCTTGGGCCATTAGCGCCTACTTTTTGTAAAGCTCTTTAGCCATTTTGTGTTCGGTAATTTTAAAAAGTGATGCTTCAAAATAAACAAGTTAAACCAATTAGTAACAATAAAATGCATTGATAACTTAATGTTTTTTTATCCGAATAAGTAAACAGTAGTGGATGTCCTTCATTAATTAGCCCAATAAATATTGATAAATACTTGACCCAGATAAATAACATTTTAATCGAATTGATTATAAGGATTGTGTGTAGATAATCACGCTGTTTTAATCTAAGTGATATAACCACTAGATTTTGCCGATATAAATAGAAAATTAGCATATTAATGCGGGTGTGTGATTACATTCTTTGCTGAATAAGTTATACAATGGAAGTGATATTCAAGCAAAGTGTGTTTGCCGATGAGTCGAATAGGTACTTGTAAAATATAAATTTTACCTTAGCCGAGCAAGGTATTCGGGAAGGAATATTCAGTTGAGTGAGCCACTCGGGAGGGAATATTAGATGCAATCCTAGTCGAGTGGGGTGCTCGGGAGGGAATAATAAAAATAGAATCATGTCTTGAAAAAAGAGCTATCTTTATTGACGAAGTTCTCGTTAAAAACCTTCTCGGAAAAATCTCATTTCACGTTCTTTTAAGTGGACAAAACTTGAGCGAGAAAAAAGAGTGCACTGAATTTATACAAAGTACAATCTTAGCTATAGTAATGCTTAAGAGGTGATGCATTCCAGGTCCTCGGTATAACTTTTCCCTCAAGGGTTTCAAGTGTTGTTTAAACTGGTCAATACCCAAAAAGGTCCATCCCAATTGGCGGCAAGTTTTCCTTCTTGTCGGTCATGGCGCACCTCCCCGGTTGCTCTCCACACTAGGTCTCCAGTTTGAAACTGCCTTGGCTTGAGTTTGGAATTATACTTCCATGAAATCACCCTTTTGCTTGCTTCAGTCACGATAATGGCCTGGTCTTGAATTTCGTCTTTTCTTCAAAATGGTGTCTCTGAAAGAGGGTTCACCAATTTCAACTGGGACCATGGCTTCATTTCCATAAGTCAACCTAAAAAATGTTTCTGTTGTAGTAGTTTAGGGAGTGTACCAATATGTCCAGAGGATTTCAGGTAGTTTTCGGCCCATTCTCCTTTTGTTGAGCCTAAGCGTCTTGAGTTCATAGAGGATAACCTTGTTTGTTGCTTCGGCTTGACCGTTACTTTGAGGGTGTTCGACCAAAGTGACTTGGTGCTTGATGTGAAGTCCTTCTAGAAACTCATTGAAGCATCGATCCATGAACTGGAGGCCATTATTGGTAACAAGGGCATATGGCACTCCAAAACGGGTGATGATATTTCTCAAGGTGAATTTCTGTATATTATTTGCTGTGATAGTTGCGAGGGGTTCAGCTTTAATTCATTTGGTAAAATAATCAACTACAACAGAAGGAACTTACACTGTCCTATGGCCAAGGGAAATGGGTCCAGCCATTCCCCACATAGCAAAAGGCCAAGGTGGGGCAATGGAGTGGAGAGTCTCGGCAGATTGATGTATGAGTGGGCCGTGTGTTGACATGGAATATATTTTTTGATAAAAAGGACAAACTCCTTAGCCAGTGTCGGCCAATAATAGCCTGTTCTTAGCACCTTTGCTGCTATTGTTCGTCCTCCCGAGTGGGTTTGCCTCATGACATAATTAGCTTGCTCTTCATTGTCTTAAGGCGTTTGGCTTGATCCTAATCGTCTAGGAGTTTATTAGCGGCAAGATATTGAATGATGTCTATCATCCAATTCTTAGATGTACCTTCGATTTCCATACGTTCTTCATAAAAAATGCTCGGCTTGCTAATTTCTTGCTGGATCATACTTTGGAGTCGTCCCAGCATTTTTGCTGGATCATTCTTGCTGGATTATTAAATTCGTCGTGCAGCCCTTTAAATTCTTGATAATACTGCAATATGATGGGATCTTTAACCTGATACGTACCGTTGACTTGCTCGGCAACCACTAGGGAGTCGGTCCAACATGTAATTCTTCTTACCCTGATCTCCTTTGCTAATTTGAGATCGACAAACAACGCTTCATATTCAGCCGGATTGTTGGAAGCCTTGAAGTCGAATCGTATTTATTGTTCCAATGTCACTTTATTCGGTCCCTCTAAGATGACCCCTGCTCACTACCATGAAGATTTTTGACAATCCGTTAACATGTAAGTTCCACATGGTAGTAGGCATTCTTTGAGGATGAAATTCGTTAAGGAATTCTGAGAGGATTTGGGCTTTGAGAGGTCCGCGTGCCTCGAAACAGATGTCAAATTAGGACAACTCGACCGCTCAGGCCATCATCCGTCCGGCTAATTCTTGCTTATGCAACACTTTTGCAATTGGACTATTTGTTTGAACCACTATTCTGTGACACTGGAAGTAGTGTCTGAGTCGTCGTGCCAATGGAACAATGCTAGGACTGCTCTCTCCATTAATTGATATCGGGTCTCGGTATCATGCAGTTCGGTTGATGAAATATACAGACACCTGTCCGATACCGCAAGATAAAAGTTTTATGCTTGGTCAGGATGGGCGATGTTGCTAAGATGGTCTTGGATTGTTTGAAAGCAGTTTCACACTCCTCGGTCCATTTAAATTTGTGCCTTTCTAAGGAGATTGGTGAATGGCTGAGATTTCTCTGCTAATTTTGGGAGAAAATGAGATAATGATATGCTCCAGCCTGTTAATTTTTGCACTTCTTTGATAGTTTGAGGACTGCTCATCTCAATAACTGCCTGACACTTGTTCATGTTTGCTTGAATTCCTTTTTTCAAAAGCATGAAACCTAACAACTTTCCTCTGAAATATACAAAATGTGCACTTTTTCGGAATAAAATGCATTCTGTGTTGTCGTGCTTTAGTGAACACTTCAGTTAAATGCCTTATGTAGTGGTCAAGAGCTGTGAATTTTATCACCATGTCATCCACATATACTTCCATACACTTTCCTAACTGTTTGGTGAAGATTTTATCCATTAACCTTTGGTTGGTTGCTCCAGTATTCTTTAGGTCAAAAGGCATAACTTCATAACAAAAATTTGCCAAATTGGTGATGAATGCTGTCTTTTCTTCGTACATCCGGATTTAGTTATACCCAGAGTATGCATCAAGAAAACTGAGCATCTTGTGACCCGCTACTCTGTCAACCAAAGCATCTATACTAGGTAGAGGATAAGCATCTTTGGGACATGCTTTGTTTAGGTCTGTGAAGTCAGTACACATCCTCCACTTTCCGTTTGCTTTTTAAACCATAACGACATTTGCTAACCAGGTCGAATAATGTACCCCGAATAAAATCGGCTTTTAAAAGCTTGTCGGTCTCATCCCAAACAGCACGGGCTCGCTCACCTCCCATCTTTCTCCTTTTTTGGGCAACTGGCTTGGCATCTTTACATGTTGATAGTCGATGGCATAGGAAATTAGGATCTATTCCAGACATATTTGCTGCTGTCCATGCGAACAACTCGGCATGATCAAGTAGTAACCTCTGTATTACTTGCTGTTCGTTCTGTGATAACCCGGCTCCTAGGTATGTAACTTGTTCGGGCCTTCTTCCGAACTGGTAGGGTTTCTTTTATTCAGGTTCAACTCGAAACCCCTCATCCACTCTTGGATCGAGTTCCACGTTTGAGAGTTCTACTCCTAACTGAGGGGATACTATATTGACGTCTCTATTCGGGTTAGACAAGGGCTTTAGGCACAAATTTGCAAAATAGTATTCCCTAATGAGCTTCTGATCTACATGGACGGTTATGATTTTACCTTTGTCTGAAAGAAACTTTATAGCGAGGTGAGGAGTAGATACTATGACTTTCAACTTATTGAGAGAGGGGCGCCCGAGTAATATATTGTATGAAGTGTTGGCATGGACCACCAAATACGTTACTTTAATGCGTTGTCCCTCATTTTCTGAGCTGAAGAGGGTGTATAAGTCTATGCATCCACGAGTATTCGGGTACCCTTCTTCTTGGTACTAGGCTGAAGGGGTATTCGGGTTTCTTTTTTTGTGATGATGACCGAGTAGTGTCTTATCCAGTACAAGTTTATTGTGCTAGACTTATATCTTTTGGCCTGTGCTTTTCTTTCATAGTGTAAATAGAGACTGGGGGAGACTATCAACACTGAGTTAGTCATTTCCATTGTTTTTTCTCTATAACAACCACCAAATCTTATCCCACTAGGTGAGATCCGCTCATAGATCACACAACAGCATTCAGCTCGGTCCAAAATCAAATTCTCAATTGTTTTTATTTCCACTAAAAAGTTAAATTAATAGCATCTTGATCCCTTGCATGCCAGATTGGTTGGACAACCTTGCTTTATTATTTGTATAAGTTGGACTTTAGTTTAGTTGATTACAGTTCAAAAATCTAAAAAAAGTTGTGTGAGTATACTATTTCACTTGTCTGATCAAGTTTTTGTTGGACATTTTGCAGCTGATTTGGTATCTGACGATGATGCACGGGTACATTTATTTTTTCGATAGCACATGTAAAATTGAGTTTCTAAGTTTCGCAATCCTGGTGCCTTATGTTTTCGAATGCATCTTGTTCTTTTGCAGTTTGTTGGTCAAGATGATGGAAGCAGTGATGATGAAGGAATGTTATGTGAGTGATCCCCCTTGTATCTCTCTAATTATAGTGATTCTTTCAATATCTTATTGATATGGAATTTTATGGTAAAATATGCGCAATGAGATCCTTTAGTCTTTCTCAGTATATGGTCATTATACCATGCGCATGCCATGCATGTCTTGAGCTGTATCTCTATCAGGATTAGTTTTTCATTTATAGGAAAAGTCTATCTTTGCCCACAATTGATAATTTCGTTAGTAGTTGCAGTATCTAACGGCTGCTTTATTTTCTTTTAGACTTAATTGTATTTTTAGTCCTTATACTTTAAACTAAGGGCAATTTTAGTCCTTTTTAGTTTTAATTATTCATATTTAGCCCCTCTAATTTTTCAATTGTTCAAATTTAGTTCCCCACTCTAAAATTTTATTCCATAATTAATAAAAATCTAATGAAGGTGTGACATGTTACTAATATATATAAATTTGTAAAGAAAAATATTTAAATAAAAATACTAAATAAAATAGATGGAATATAATAAAGCCTTTTTATTCTTATTTAATTATTTTATTACTTTTTCTTTGTAAATTTTGTATGAATCAATGATTTATTACATGATGATAATATTCTTAATTATTGCATAAAATTTTGAAGTGGAGGACTTAATTTGAACACTAAATACGAGGAATTTTAATTAGGGAGATCAAAATTAACCATAAGCTAAAATACGAGAACAAAAAGTGCAATTAAGCATTTTTTTTAAGCTATTCATGTATTTATTTGATATACTCAGTTTATGTATTGGTCGTGCTCTTATTCCCTATTTATACCTGACATAAATGATCTTTATTTGCAGATCTTCCTGACTTGGAAAAGGCTAGGGGATAGTGACTCTTTACAGTACTAACAGATTTAAGAAGCATCATTGAGATGGAATCATAGGGAACTATTTAAATAGGTTCAGGGATAGACTACTTGATAAGATGCATTGTGACTTGATTGTGGCTATCTTGTATATAGAACCTGACTACTGTGCTTTGAAAACATGGTCTTTATCTTGTGATTACTTGGGACCAATTCTGGTGAGAGGTTTCTTTGATGGGAATGTTGGTTGCATAGTATAATCTAACATTTTTCTTAAAAAACTTGTTTGATATTATACAACTCTGACGAGTATTGTCATTTCAAGGTTGCAACTTTACCCAGAAACGCCATTTTCCCCTTTTTATTTCATTTTTCCTGGATTAAACTTAGCTTAATCTTTTCTTTCTTTCCCTTTTCTTTTTCCGAAATGTTGTGGAGGTGACTCCTCCACTCTTGATTGGTAAAACCTCTTTGATTAGACGAATTATTCATTTGTCGACCAAAAAATAAAAAATAAAAAAAATAAATCATTTATTCATTGACATAGAAATTACTTTATTTCAAAATGATCAAATTTAGTTGTAAAATAAAATATGTATAATTTTACAAAAAAAGTCTTAATTGACTAGAAAATTTTTTTGAAGTCAAAGAATGGTTACAGTTCCAACCATTGAAACAAGTTAAATTAATAATCTTTTATAAATAATCACTCCTGAAATATTCTAGGTGAAGAGGGGTTAGATCAAAATAACCTTATACGTAGTTTCCAAACCTTGACTAAAACTAGTTTTCACGTCGGTTCATCCATTCTTTTTCTTTTTAGTTCATTCCAATTCTTGAATCGACGAACCAGTATCAAATAATTCTCTTTACACACAGGATAATAGTAAGTTATTGGCACCTTCATCTGATTTTACCCGTTGAACAATACAAGAGAAATCATTCCGCACCCGTCCTATATAAAAATATTTACAAATACCACAAAATTACCAAAAAGATAACTTATTACACAAGTGTGACCATGCAATCACATCATAATTTCGAGTTTTTTCAACCTTGCTCTATAGACAAGATGTTTCACGTATTATAAATAGTAATATTCAAATTTTCATTCACTAGACACATTAGAAATAACAAACCACACAATCAATGCAAAATATATGAACAAGAACAGCTTAAACGGCTTCCCCCAAACAATATCAGCATGTTGGAGAAGGATCATCAGCAGGCACAATTACAAAATCAAATGCCCAGTTGTGCAACTTCATGCGCACCACTATTAATTACCCTTGAAACAAAAGATAACTTTCAACTTCACAAGTCACATATCATATATTGACACTCTTGACCATATCTCAAATTTATCATCTTCAGCTCAAATATTATCTGATTGCTCCAAGCAAATTGGCACCATCAAGCCTTGCACCTTCCAAATGCTGATTAAAAAAAAAGGACGAAAACATGTTAGCTTGTCATACTCTGAACTGAAAAGTACACTGGCAATTTCTTTATCCACCCACTATTTCCTCGTGTTGCTTCAGTTCATTCGAGTCATATAAATGCACTGGAGGACTACAAAATCCTAAGATGTGTTTGTTCTCTTATCAAAACCTCATATTTAAAACCATAAATGGTGACAAATCAAACGAAATTTGAAAAATTCAAATCTGATCCTACAAGGTATTCATTTAATTTCTCATTCGATTGTCTAAACTTTATGTTGTGCTTGCTCCAATTAGTAGTTTTCTGTAGGAATCAACAAATTATATTAGACCATGCTACGTGATTTAGTTTATTTGTACCTGGTACAATACTGACAGACTTCCCTGTTTTGCTTACAATCTGGTATATGTATCTACTGATCAAGAAGAATGGTTAGTCTGTGGAACACACTTCAATAACAAAGCTTCAGCCAGCTTGAACTGAAGTTCTTGAGTTCAGTTCAGTTCCAATTACATTTTTAAAATCAATTATTTTAAACTACCCAGGCACCCACTAATTATTGGCAAGAACAGAACAATCAAATGCAGCACAACAAAGACATTTAAAAGAGCTACAAAAATGCAGCTAATTAACATACTGTATCTCGAAGATTGACATGACGTAGATAAGCTCGTTGAAGGTTCGCACTCCTCAAGTTGGCATTGTTCAGTTTTGCACCCTGAGAAATAGGGAATTGTTTTCAAACGAGAAGCCTAAAATAGGATAACATTTCATACAGCCATGTTCTTTGATCAAAGAAAAATGAATTCAAAATCAATTAATTTTGAAATTATCCTAAATTATTTTAAATTTTGACATAACATAAAACCTCCCTGTGCTTTCAAATTACAACAACTTCCCTTTGTACATACAATTTCATGGTATCTAATATTTGCATAGTTAGACATCCGTGAGGAGTCATGGGGAGGAGTATGTACAAATTGTGTATAGCGATATTCTCTTTTTATGAGAAAATAATGTAGAAATCATCTGAAACCCTTTTTTCTGCAAACCATCAGCAACTCTATTATGTGCACCCATAAAGGTTCAGAGTATTTTACCTTCAAATTCGCTCCTTCTAGGACAGCCCCCTCTAGATTGGCATTGGTAAGATCTGCATTCTGTGAAGCTAAAAGACACTAATTATCTAATCATCATAGACATTCAATAAGACACAACGCTAAAGCTGCTTGTAAGAAGCTACAAGCCTACAACCCATCTCTTGAAAGCAAAATTATCCATCGAGTAAAATATTTATTAAGAAAACTCTCATTTGCCACTACAGTTAACAATTAAAAAGAGTAGATATACCCAACAATTTTCACCATAATTAAGAAGGTCAATCCACCACTTGATTGATTTATAACCAAATTTTATTGATTTAGAAGGTCAACAGTCATAAAGCTGCTTTGTCTAACTTAAAATAACTATCACACAACAGCATATACATGATTATAAAGCACTACTACAAAATTCTATGTTGGTATGTTAATCATTTATACTTTTTGGCTTTCATACATACTTGAAAATATTAATAAAGTCCAAGATTGATTCAATTCCATAATTTCTGCAAATATGATGCATTTCTCAAAAAATTAATGATATACATCTCTTATTATTGATCTAATTTTATTAGTTCAAATCTTTAACAATCACCTTCATCAGGATAACAATTAATTTCTAAGTTCAAACTAATAAAATTATACAGGGTTCAGCTTCACATGCAATTCCATTTGAAACTTAATTTTTCAGGTGTTAGAGATGACAAAAAAGTCGCACAATTACACAAAATGGATTGAAATTGGAACTTAAGGTGGTAAATATGCCTTAAGCGGGAAGAAAAATTGTCAAAACTCAAATTAAACTTACATGACTTCATAATAATAGAAGTTATTTTCTTTAAAAAAAATAGTAGTCCCGCCTTCTCTTATAAATACTGTTTGATTTGGATAATATTGGTAAGGTTAAATGGGAAAAACAGCAAAATAGAAATTTAAGTGACTTTTATTTTGTTATTTCTAGATTTTAAAAGGGCTTAAGTTCGAAAGACAATATTGAGGCTATTGCACTTGTTCTCTTATAGAGAAAATGACAGAAGAAAGCATATACAGGAATATGTTTATTATAAAAAAGAAAAGGTTATATATTCTAATGAACCTAACAGATAAGTAACGTATTTGGGTGAGATACCCAGTTTTACTATTCTATTTTATTTATTGATTTATTTTTATAATTAATTTACGGTAACACTCCAAATTAAATAAATAACCACAGTTATAATAAAACCAGAAGCTGCATTATAGTAACTCAAAACTCTTATCAAGCCATAATTATACAACTTTATACATTCCTAGCATCATTCGGTAAATTTTTTTAACAGAACAGATCATAGAACTAAACTCACTCAGTGCCATTATTTAAAATTCAACTATATAATGACTGATACAGGAGCATTAAACTGAGTATACTAAATCTATAACTTAGAATCTAGTAAAACCCATAAATGTAACTATTGAGCCGTATGGTTGTACAACTATTCTACTACAACAATTTAAAAAATAATGCAGTAGGTAAAAAGGTGGTCACGGAAGTTCTAGTCTATCATTCTATTCAATCTAAACTGTTTTTATCAGAATAATAACCTTCATAGAGCAAGGAAAAGGAAACTATAATTATAAATTAGTTATATAATAAAATCTAAACATTAAAATAAAGAATCCTAAATAACAATATAACATAACAGTTAAAATTTCATCATTGAATGCAATTTCATTTATCACAAGCTCATTTATTTATGCCATGATAATAGATTGAAGATTTGCTCAAGACCTAGTGTCTCATACCATATTTGGTCTCATCAATTTGTAGTTTGTCACCTTCAAATCATGTGCAATGCAATTTCAATAGATTCATTATGCTCAACAAACTTTTCTTCTATGAATTGCTTGTTTTCATTTCTTCAAGGTTTTAATAGGGAATTCCATTCCTGTAATCTAGGTAGAGCTACACGGTACATCAAATTTGAAATTATGCAGAGTTTCAATGTATGGTCACTTTTAATAGTACACTTCGATCAATCTTGGTAAATTTATGTGTCAGTCGGGAGCAGATTCATACATGGGAGCAGTTTGCGTGCCTATCACGCAATTAGGGAGGGAAAGTAAAATAACTCTATTCGGTTTTATTAAACGATGGGTTTTTCATTTAACCCTATTTTCTTAAACTGTGCATTTTAATTAATTTTGAAGGTAGAAAGGTTATTTACTACTATTTATAAAACCTATATATCTAATCAACTTCATCTTCTTCATATACTCCTCTCTGCAAGTCAGGTTGAGGCAAAACAATTTCTCACTTTCTTCCCTCCTCACCCATTTGATTTTGCCGGCCAAATAAGCATTTTCTGCGTCTCCTTTCTGCGTCTCTATTTACCAAAAAAATCAAATTTTTCAGCATCTTCTCTATTTTTCTGTTCACTAATCACTCTTGTTTCAAGCTCCTTTTTTTTTTGTCCTTTGCTATTCAAGATCTGATTTTCTGATCATACTCTACTTTTTTTATCTGCACTTTTCTTTATTGTTCATGATTTCATGAACTATTTTGCTGAAGGAGATAAAACTCTGTATTTTCTAGTCATCTTTTATTTCTCTATTCAGGATTTTTGTGTACATAATATATATAATATGCATATTACAAATTTTTAAATAGCAGTCATCCCGCTACACGCTATTCTGCTATAGTGTTTTAGAAGTCAGCCGCTATATGAGATTAACAACTATGATTGACACAAGGTAACTAGTCTTGTTTTCTTGTCAGACTATGCACTTCCCTTAGGATTAATTCAAACCAACGCCATCAATTTTAATCACCTATACCTAATGTCATTTAAACCAATTCCCAAAATAAACCAGTCTAAATTTGAAGAGTTCCATCAATTAATTTCACACAATCCAATCACTCTTAATTGTCAAGAGTTTCATCAAACAATTTCACATAATTCAATCACTCTTATTTTTAAGAGTTTAATCAATCTTATTTTCTATTCAAGAGTTAGTCCTCTTGTTCATAAGAAGAGTTTAGCAAATATGTTCAATCATTATTTAAAAATTTATAATATGCATGTTATATATGTTATGTAAACAAAAATCCTGAATAGAGAAATAAAAGATAACTAGAAAATACAGAGTTTTATCTCCTTCAGCAAAATAGTTCATGAAATCATGAACAATAAATGAGTGCAGATAAAAAAAGTAGAATATGATCAGAAAATCAGAGCTTGAATAGCAAAGGACGAAAAAAAAAAGGGAACTTGAAACAAGAGTGATTAGTGAACAGAAAAATAGAAATGATGCTGGAAAAATTGATTTTTTTGGTGAACAGAGATGCAGAAAGGAGACACAGAAAAGACTTATTTGGCCGGCAAAATCAAATGGGTGAGGAGGGAAGAAAGTGAGAAATTATTTTGTCTCAACCCAACTTGCAGAGAGGAGCGTACGAAGAAGATGAAGTTGATTAGATATATAGGCTTTATAAATAATAGTAAATGACCTTTCTACCTTCAAAATTAATTAAAACGCACAGTTTAAGAAAATAGGGTTAAAAATTTGTGTAGCAGGATAATTACTATTTAAAAATTTATAATATGCATGTTATATACGTTATGTACACAAAAATCCTGAACAAAAAAACAGAAGATGACTAAAAAAAACAGAGCTTTATTTCTGTTAGCAAAATAGGGCATGAAATCATGAATAGCAAAAGAGAGTGCAAATAAAAAAGCAAACTATGAACAGAAAATCAAAGCTTGAACAGCAAAGAAAAGCAAATAGGGAAGATGCTGGAAAAACTGATTTTTCTGGTGAACATAGACGCTAAAAAGGAGATACTAGAGAGGAGATGCCAGAAAAGCTGATTTGGCTGGCGAAATCAAACGGGTGACTTGGTGAGGAGGGAAGAAAGTGAGAAACTGCTTTGTCTTAACCCAACTTGCAGAAAAGAGTGTACGGAGAAGATGAAGTTAATTAGATATATATGTTTAATAAAGGGTAGTAAATGACCTTTCTACCCTTAAAATAATCAAAACACAGTTTAGAAAAATAGAGTTAAATGAAAATGCATCATTTAGTAAAACAGAATAGGGTTATTTTACTGCTCCCACGTATGGCCGCTACCCGCAACCCCCACAACATGGCAACAGTGGTGGCCGACAGCTGCACCTTGACAACATGATAGCGCCACTATAGCGTGCTATTAACAACTATGCTTATAATATAGTATTCAAATTTTTAACTTTTCTTATTAATAGTTAAGTCACCTTGTACTTAGTTTATCTAAGTTGTCTTTGTCTACTTTTTAAACAATCAACAACACAACTTATTTATGCTACCATATTTATAAGAAAATTCAACTTTATTCATTCCTTCCATAGTTTGTACAAATCTTATCATCTCCTTACAAGTTTTAATATACCTAAAATTTAACAATTATTGGGATAGAGATAGGTCTTAAGGAAAGCTTGTTTGGATCCTCCTCACATGACTCCTTGATGATTGGCATTTTTTATTTTTGTATGATGATGGTGATGTAGTGTCTTACTTTTAGAAAGAAAGTTTAAAGAGAATGTTGGTTTGGTGGGTGCGTGGATGTGTGGACCACAAGGAAGACAAGAGAAAAGTAGTTTGACAATGAGGTGTTTGATGTGCCTATTTATAGGAAACTTCTTGGCAGAATGATATGCTTAACTTGACGCAAATTGCATCTTCTAGACTTCAAATCTTTATTCAATCAAACTAATGATATGGTAGGCTATCCCTATATAATCATATTCTTTTTCTACGTCCTTATTCCATTCATTTATTGTCTTTTGTCTTATAATACTACCTTATTAATGTGTTCATGAAACATTCCTTATTACATAAGTTCTCCCTCCTTTACTTAGTAACAATTTTAGTCAAGTTGTTTCATATCCTGTCCTAAAATTCTTATCTACTCATAAAACTCAAAGTAAGTTACATTAAATGTTTTTTTATTTTGTTTATAGATTACTTCTTATGCTCCCACTTCAACTTTGAGTGACTTTTTAAATTTGCATTTATTACTAACTCTTATGTGTGTCTTTAACTTTCACCCCTCCTTGCTTTCTTCTTATTCCATCTTTGAATTATTCTTCAAGTTTCCTTTATTGCTTAGCCTCCATCACCTTAGCCTTTCTCTGAAATATCTTATCCTCTTTTTGACTTATCCTAACTATATTAGTCTTGTTTCCTCTAGTTATATGTCTCCTTCCTTTCCTAAAGTTCTAGTTCCTTTTTTATCAACTAACAATTCATTTATAATTTTCGAGTTACATGTACTCATGTCATTCTTATTCTAGAACTTCATTTTTTTTACTAAATTCTATACTAATTATAAACTATTAATCTACCTTCTAGAATTAAATTTTATATGGTAACTTGTAACACCACAAGTAAACTGTTTATTTGTTTAGTATTATCCTTAAAAAAAATACTTTTAACAAAATTTTTAATTTACCAATTCATATAGAACAATTTCTTTAATCATTTATAATTTTGATATCAAATAAATTTTAGAAGATTAGTTATTTAAAATTAGTATAGAATTCAACAAAAAGAGTAAACTTGTACAGCAATTAGGACATATAACTAAAATTTAGGAATGAATTATTAGTCTATGAAAAAGGACCTAGAACAATTAGGACATATAGCTAAAGCTAGAATGAATGACTAGATGAAAATGAAACTACAACCTTGTGCAATAATATGGTTAGGATAAATCAAGAACAAGTAAAAAAGGATGAGATATTTATGGAAAGGATAAGGTGATGTAGACTAAGCAAAAAACGAAATTTAAAAATTAATTCAAAGAAGAAAGCAAGGAAACGTGAAAGGGTAGGAGACACGTGTAATCTCTAGGACAATTCAAATATTTGAAAAGTAGGAAAAAAGGAGATAAGAAACGTGTGAAAAGAGTTGATAAATATAACTTTAAAAAGTCATCCAAAATTAGAATAGAAGCAAGAGAAGTAGTCCATAAGTAAGCATTTAATGTAACTTGACTAAAACATTAAATTGGTTTATAGGGGATAAGACTTTAGAGAGAAAGGATGGGGAATGACATGAATAAATTGTACCTAAATAAGGGTCAGGAACTAATGTAATGCTAGCAGGAAATGTTTCATGAAGTCATTTATTATGTAGTAATACAAGACAAAAAGAGAATAGATGAGAGAGAGTTAGAAAAGGAAGGATGTGACCTTATAGGATAAACTTAACCTATCATTAGTAGGGTTGAATAAAAATTTGGAATCCATAAGCTGAGGTTGGTGTGAAGCTAAGCATACCATATCTTTGAAGAAGTTTTCTATAAATGGGCATGACAAGGATCTCATTTTCAAACCAATCTCTAAACACTTTCCTTTGGAAACTCTGAGGTTCATACATCCACACACTACTCAACTAACATTCTCTTTAAACTTTCCTTCTAAAACAAAGACCTCATATCATTATTATTATCACATAAAAGTAGAAAACTCCAACAAGGAGAAGCCACATGAGGAGGAAGATCCAAATTAATTATCAACGAGACCAATTCCTATCCAAATAGGGTAAGAAATGGTAAAAAAATTATAACTTAAGCAACTAAATAAAATATAAGAATCTATGTTTGTAAGACACTCCGTACATTATATTTGAAGAGTTTTTAAACTCTTATTTATCTTGGGGACTTACTTTGTGCTTGATATGATAGTTGGTTTGAAGATTAATATTGAATCATAATTGACTTTGTCTTGCTATAAATTGTGTTTATTTCATATTCTTGTTTTAAATTGTCTTCATTCTTTGTCAATACTAGACATCATTATTAAATTTTAAATGAATAAAAACATGTAAAAGATGATAAGATCCGTGTGAACCATGGAAGGTATGAACAAAACTGAATTTTCTTATGAATATGTTAGAATAAATAAGTGATGATGTTGATTCTTTCAAAAATAGACAATGATTTGACTTGGATAAATTAAGTACAAGGTGACTTGGCTATTGATGAGAAAGGTTGAACATGAAAATTTGAATAGTATAAAGCAATAATTATAAATAAATAAAAAGTTAACAAATTTAGCTTATAGTTCAATAGAAATACACCATTGGAAAAATAACCAAAAGTTAGTAGGAAAAGGATTTTAGAAATCAAGGATTCTTTATCCAACATGATTTACTTAGTAAATATATTTTTACTTGTATATACTTGAATGAAGACAAATTTATTATTCCATGAGACTAGAAGCTAGGGATGTGTGTCTCCATAAGAGTTAAAGATTTATGTTGAAAATTCAATTAAAAAATCACTTAAGAACATAAATAAAAAATTCAAAGATTGAATTTTGACTGAAAGTATATTGCTTTATTGACCTAGTAAATTATTTCTATTGACTTAATAAAATACCATCCAAATTAATTACAAAGTCGTGAAAATATATTCATAATGTATTTTAGAGACAGATAATTGATAGTAAGGATAAATATGCATGTTAATAGATAATAATTGATGTTGATCAATAATAGGCTAGAATAAATGAAAAAAATAAGTTCAATAGTTTTTTTACTGTAGTAGTAGTGTAAATAGGTAATTTTAGTCTAGAAGATAGATAACTAAATATGATTGACTTAATAAAAAGAAACAAATTAAGTTAAAAGTAATAGAACTTCAAAAAGAATAAAGAAAAGACTTGCTCAACTAATATAACCCCAAATTTTAAGTTAAGTTGACACTGTAAAAATTTGCAAAATTGGACTATCTAAAGGTTGTTTTGAATGTGAACTTATATGGTAAAGGAAAGATTTTTTTTTTTTTTTAAATTAAATGAAACAAAGTATGAAGGACCTTTGTGCAATTAATAAAAATATGAACTAGCAATTTATGAAAACATTTAGAAATTGATTTGCAAATAAATGAAATAATAAAAATAGTATAAAATTGTTAATATTTAAATAAAATTAATTATAGAACATTAAATAGGTGAAATCTAGTTAAAATTGCAAAAGAAACTAAGTATATAAAGTTTTTTAAAAAATAAAGTATAATGAAATTTTAATAAAGTAAAAATTAGTGAAACTCATCAATTAAGTTTATAACATACAAAATTGATTTGGTGATTGAAGGATGCAAATGATTCAAAGAAAATAAAATTATGAAATAACACATAATTAAATTTTTATCAATTTTCATCACCTGTACCCAACATTACTCAAAAGTCAAAATATTTCACAAAATCAACAATAGATTTACACTTGCCAGACTGTGCACTAGCAATGGAAATTGTGAAAATTTACTAATGTGCTAGTGTTACTTCACATAAATTTACTTACGAGCCAATCAGGGTAGTTCACATTGATGATAAAAACTAAATTAATTACCTTGTGTCATTGACAGGGAATTGCAGAACTATCTTAAAAGACATGTAAATTTATCAAGATTGTTTAGAGTGTTTATCACTAGAAATGACCATACACTGAAAATGTACATAATGAACATGGAACTTGGATGTACAACATGGCATTGCCTAGATTATAGGCATGGAACTCCCAATCAAATCAATCATTAAGAAGTAAAGCAAGTACTTCATAGAAAAAGAGTTTCTTTGAGCATAATAGATCCATTGAAATTGGTTTAGACAAAACAGACTACACATTGACGTAAATATAATGTGGGATAAGACGCAAGGTCTTGGACAAATTAGTCCACCATCATAATGTAAATCAATCAAACTATGATAAATGAAATTGCACTCAAATATTGCATATTATGAATGATGAAAATGGTAACTGTTTTATTGTATTGTTGTTTAAGATTCTTTATTTTAATGTTTTGTTTCATTATTAAATTAATTTATAAGTATGCTCACATTTTGTTCTATTTTGATTTTTATTTCAATATAAAAATTTTTAGATGGACTATAATGATACACTGGGTCATCCGACATCAGCTTTCACCTACTGCATATTTTTTTAGTTTGCTGCAGGAGAGTAGTTATACAGTGGTACAGCCCAAATTATCTCTTTTGTTAGGTTCATGACATACTGGGTCACTATATTGTTGAATTTTCATTCCCTCTGTATTTCACCTTACAATATGTGGGTGAAATTTAGGAGGTGTTGAAAAAGGCCCCTCTATAGATAGTTGTTTTAAAATAATAGGATTGAATGTGTTTAGTCCTATAATCAATCTTGCAAAATTTTGACGTTGTGATGCTAGGAATGTATACAAATGCGTAATTGTGGTGTGGAAAGAATTTGCAGTTACAAAAATGTGACTACTAGTTTTATTATAGTTGTGATTATTTATTTAGAATGTTAACAAAATAACATAAATTAATTATAAAACAAATAAATAAATCGAGTAAAACTGGGAGTCTCATAATGAGTGCCTAAACATTTTACCAAAGATATTTATTTAATATCGATATTATAAATGGCAAAAAATTATTCTATATGAATTAGTGGATTATAAATTTGACTAAAAATATTTATTAAGGATAGAAAATAAATTAATAAATAGCATACTAGTGGGTGTTACAACTAGCACAAAACAAAAGCTTTTAGAAAACAGAAAGAACAAAATGAAAGATATTAACAAATTCGAATAATTAATTAGACAAGTTTAAAAACATTCAGGTTTGGTGAACCTGCAGATGTGCTGAACGCAGGTCTGCTCCACAGAAGCTACAATCTACTAAACAAGCATCTGCAAAATAGCAGGTTTAAACAAATTAACCTCATTTCCAAGTATACATTTCAATGTAAACAAGAAACACGTGTGGCATTCAATACATTTCAGTGTAACCAAGAAAATAACATGAATATATTACAAACCCTAAACACACACAAGTATTGATACTCTAGTCATCAATCCTGAATAGTAGCACGGAGTGGCTGATCCCAAAAACACTATTGCGGGATGACCACTAGTCTGAAGACAATCAAAACAGAGAAGAAAAATAGATCAAAGAGTGTTCAATCACCAAAAAAAGCTCAAATGCAAACAGTCGCATAAAAAAATGTCTCACTATCATCGGAAAAAGTCTGCATCTCGTTGAAAATAGCTTAAGTTACACCGGAGATAATGAAGACAATCGGAAAATGTCATCGCTCACATTAGAAATAAGTTGGGTTTTGCCGGAAATGAAAAAAATGACTGGAACTTGGTCAGAAATGGTGACTTGTACTGAAAAATGACACTAGAGATGGAGAACAAAGATGGAGGTCGGTTCGATCTTGACTTGTGAAGATAGAGAAGCATTCCAAGTATTAGAAATATAAAAAGGGGGGGAGGGGATCACAAGATTGACCCCCTTAAAAAGCATTCCATCTTTCAGAAAGGAAGGCAAACTTGCCCTTTTGCCCTTAGGATGAAATAGTGGCCGTGATGGTTACAATTTGCTCCACTTTTTGCCACGATTCGCGGTGCGACGGCTGCTACACTGAAATGCAATGACGATGGAATAGTAGCACCCTACTGCTCTGCTCCACAATAGCAGTCTTTCTCTCTGTGTGTGTGTGTGTGTGTGTGTGTATATAGTGTCCAGCTGTCCAAATAATTTAGACATCAACCACATAGTTATCAATAGCAGCCACTATCACAGCAAAGTGGCACAGTCCCGCTATGGCAACCCTATAGCGTGGCGGTTTAGTGTCGTGGCTTGGTGAGAACAACTAGGTTATTGTTAACAAATAGATGGGGGTAAATTTGGAACAATATTAAAATGTGTAAAAATAAGCTTAGCTTAGAGAAGGAGAAACTCCTCCTATTAGCTTCTAACTTATCCTTTTTTGGTTTGCATTTTCTTCATTGAAAAAAGGCTCCTTTTACGTTTTTGAGCTCTTTGTAAAAAAATGTTTGGCCCAACTCCTCCTCTTAAGGAAAAGAGAAGCTCAAAAATCTGCATCAAACACTTGTAAAGGCATATCGAAGAGTTATTGCCATAATGCATGCTTTCTATGCATGATATCTTATGAATTGATGAGTTAAGGAATAAATTCTAAACTTGAGCTGAGCTGTGGACTACTTGAAATTTGAAATCAAAGGGATTTTGGTGGGGTTATGATGGAGTATAAAGAATGCTAGTTCAGTAAGATGATAGTTAGCAACTTAGCAATATTTAGACGCAAAAATAGGGAATTAAATTATACCACAAATTGCATGGTTTAGGTATCTTGGATATATTTTACAAAATTATGGGCATGTCACGTATAGGATTTAAGTTTGGTGGAAGAAATAGAGAAAAGCTTCAACCAGAATTTGTGATAGCAAAGTGCTCATAAAACTTCAAGGAAAAGTTTACTAGACAGCTATAGGACTACTGATGTTCTATGATAGTGATTAGTCAATGTTGGTCAAATAAATGCAAACAAAAGCCAAAATAAAAGGTGTAACAGAGGACAATGCTGTAGTGTGAGTAAACAAACATATAAAAAATTTATTATGAATAAACATATCTGGGAGAAAGTTGGCATACTACCAATAAAGGAGGATGATAGAAAACTTGATTAAGATGGCTAGGTAAGGTAAGAGAAACCCAATGGAAGCTCAAGTGCAAAGGGGAATCAAATGGAATTGATTAAATGGGGTAGACAAGGACCTAAGAAAACTTCACTAAACCATTAAGTAGTGTTGATTTATATAGTTTTGCTGAAATTCTGGGGTTTTGATATAGTCCAATGGATTGATCAAAGTAGCCAATCCCTCATACTGAGATAAGGCTAGGTTATTGTTGTGTGTATTGGTAATGTTTTGGTTAAATGCTAATAGCAGAAATGACAAGGAAACATGTGGCAATAATACATGATAAAAAGCATATAAGCATAAAATACTAACAGACCTTGCAGATTTGCACTCTGAAGGCATGCACCGGGCAATAAAGCACCACGAAGATTTGCCCTAGTAAATTCACATCTTCCCTAGGCAAGAGGAAATAATTTAGAGGCCTGAAATTGTGTATGCAATTGAATAGCAGAATTTCCTGGTGACTTACTCACGCAAAGTTGCATTGTGAAAGATGGAGGCCTCAGCATCAACATCCTATTAAATTAAATAGGTTCAGGATAAATTAAAAATTAAAATAAGATAAGCATGTAGAGTCACAAGTTTTAAAAGTAATCAAGAAAAAATGTCATGATCATAACAACAACAACCAAGTCTTATCCTAATAGGTGAGGTTGGCTACATGGATTATACAATGTTATTGAGCCCAGTCAAAAACCAAAGTCTTTGACAAAAAAGTCTCTGGTAAATGATGTACCATAAATCATTTACATCATGTATAGTGCAAGTTAAAGATGGATATTTTTGGTCTGGTCAACAAAGTTGGATTATATTGTTCTCAGACAATAGAATGCATGAACCCAAGAACAGCCTGACTAAATTTAGCCAAGATTCAGGTGTTTCAGAATTCAGGTCAAACTTGCATTATACAAATAGGCCTGATCAACTTGCCAAATTAATATCCCAAGTATTAAGTCCAGTCAGAGCCATACTTACTTGAAACTTTGCACAATGAAGGTTTGCTCGTGAAAAGAACACATTTTTAAGACAAGCATAGCTGAAATCCACAAAAGATAAATCCTGAAAACCATACATAATCAAGAGATTAAGACTGCATCAGAGGATGATCTTAGCAGACATATTATCCTGCATATATTTTCATTCAAAATTTACATTGCATGAGTTATACTTCAATCATATATTATGTTAATTCCCAGATAACGGTTGTTGAAATAATTTTGTCCACCCAAGGTAAAACATCAAACATGTCATCCTTTTCCACAAACATTCTTCAGATGTCCCAATTGTTAATATTAAAAGTAAATATGAAGTGAATTAAAAAATTTCTGTCAAATAACTTTTTATTATTTACAGAACTGAAGTTACAGAACACAAGAGAAAGCCAAGAAAACAGGCAAGAGATAAATTTGATGGCTAAATGAAAATACACAGGTTCCTCCAAAACTCATTCAAGAATCACATGACTTCTTTACAAGTAAACTAATATACTGTTGAAGAACATTTTTGGTCCAAGAAATTACCAGTTTAGAGAGGTCAAGGCCAGAAAGATTAACCCCTCGAAATCTTACTCTCTCAGATTGTATACACTTGATGATATCTGTACGTGTCAACTCCGAATGGAATTCGTCATCTTCCTTCCTCTTATTAACAAGGACAGCATGGATTCCCTCTATAAGCCCCTGGTGTTTGGCAAGTGATCATAGGTTTTAGGATTTCAATAACAGTTGAAAGTTTCAGTTTATTTTCCCATTGGTAAAGTAATCAGAACAAATCTAGGCAAAAGGTTTATAATAAACTTCAAATTTAACATCATGGCAAACATAACTATGTAAGTAAGGATAGCAAGTTGAAATATGCATTAATTTGTTTATGATACAGCAAAGACATGGTTTTGAGTTAAGATGGGGAAAGTTTCCTTCACAGATGGCTGTTCTTGATGTAAAAAACCACAAGGATTGTAAGCCTTGTATATAAACTTATGTTCTGGATAACAGATGAAGAAAACAAAGTTGCTGGGTCATCAAACTAATAGGCAAATACTTGCAAGATTATAAATAAGTATTCTAATGAATTAAAAGAAAAAGGGGGATGATACTGCGGTGTCTTTAGAGCTAAAATGAAAGATGAGAATGCATGTCCAAAACCTATCAAATAAAATGCATTCGTTAACCTACCCATAATTGAAAAGATATTGGAAAAAAACTAGACAAACTTGCATTAAGGATCTAACAGTGGTACACAGCATCATCACAGAGGCAACACGTCCTTATCACAGAAAACAAAATTGACACAAGTACTCGTGAACCACTACTACTAGAGTTTTTATAGCAACACTCTAGCCTCAGCAAACAAGACTGGAACAATCATGGCACTGCTAGTAGGAAACAAACCAAACAAAGATATCCAATTCCAAACACGGGTTTACTTTTAAATTGATGTCAGAAACTGCAAATAGATGAGAACAGTGCTTACAAGTAGCTGATAGTACTCAGCCTCCCTCAACAGCTCTGTGTATTGAGATTCCTCGAGAGTGGGCACCACACCGTCCCTTAACCAATTCAGAATGTGCCGGAAGTGTTTACCATCCCTATCAACAAACACATATCCCTGCAAAAATCAATAAGCATAATTAAATTTCATTATCATCATCATCATAGTATAACAATAACAAGAGTCTTGTTAACCAATGTTTTATTAAAATCACGTTGGGTACATTAGAAATCTGATAATATATTAATAACATTTTTTAATAATATTATAATGAGGGTTCTTAGGGCATGCATTTGTCTAATAATAATAATAATACGAAATTGCCTTGTCGGGATCTTGGCAAAGAGTGTGGCGGCCACTGAACATAGCTGCGAGCATTGAATCGGGTTCGCGCTGAGTGAGAGTATCGACGGTGGTGCTAAATTTCTTTCCTCCTGGGAAAGATCAAACGAGGAAAATAAGGAGGAAACGGCGTCGTTTTAAAAGAGAAAGTGGTGCGGAAAAGAGAGATAGATGTATGATGTACCTATGTTGAGGCGAACGAAGGAAGATAAATCGGATTGTTCCTTCATTGTGGCGAGTGGCGAGGCTCACAGAGAAAGAGAAAGAGACTCAAAGCACCACTGGCAGAAGCAGGTGTTGCCACTGTACAATCATTCGATGGAATGGAAGGGAATAGGAGTAGAAATTACAAAATCAAGTTTTGTCCTCTTTTTTAATACGGAGACAAAACTTAATTACAATATTATCCTCTCTTTTTTATTATTCAATATCATTTTTGTTGTCCCAATCAAAAAAAATTATTATAAATTATTTGTATACACAAAAATTTTACATTATTAATTAATTAAAATATTTTTTAAATTAGTTATCATTTTAAAGTCAATTTTTGTGTTGACGTGAAATTACATAATAAAATATATCTTAATTAAATTATATGTAATATCATACTTACATGTTGTTTAATTAGAAATTATGTAATATTAATGAATTTATCTGGACTGTAATGAAGTGTAAATTTATATTATTATTCAGTCATGAATGATCATGTTAACGAGAATTATTGATTTTTTAATTATTATTTTAAAATTTATATTTATTATATACTTTAATTATTAATAATATAAAAATATATTAATAATGTATTAAAATTAAATGTTATGTTAATTATAAATTGATTTAGAAATTAATATGCATTAATACTAAAAAATTGTTTCATATGTATTGATATTTTGTAATTTACTTTGTTATTTTTTATTAGTAATTTTATTAAATTTTGTGTTAAAAGGTTAAATTATAAATTTACGACATATCAGTTAGGTTTATGTAAAAATGTAGAATTATATTTTTTTAACTTTTTTTTCTTTAATTTTTTAACTTATTTTTAATTTAACTATTTAATTTTTAAACATAATTTAAATAAGTTATTTCTCTTAATATTAATTTATTATTATTATTTTGTATCCTTCCTCTTCTTCGGTCACCTACTATTTCTTTTCTTTTTCTTTATCCATTCTCGCATTCCTTCCTCTTTTTCTTGATTGTTATCCTTCTCGTGTTGCTTCCTCAACAACTAAAATTCACATAGTCAAATATCACTATAGTTGAACCTGGTTGTTGTGAATCGCTATCCTCGAAACTCCGCTGACAACAACAATTAGAGTGAAGACTTATTTGAATTGTTTTAAAAGTTAAAAAATTAAAATAAAACTTTTAAAAATTAAATAATTAGAGTAAAAATACACAAATAAATAAAAAATAGATTAATAAAGATTTAATTTTTTCTTTATTTTTCTCCTTTTCTCTATACTGATAATTATCTTGGTATCAAAGCTTAAACCACGAGAGAGGTTTAGGTTCTTAGATTTTGAAGGTTAGCACAAAAGTAGTTATGATAATATTAGTTAGCTCAAATAGTAGTCTTGGAAGTAAGGCCCTGAGTGATAAGCAATAAACCATTTAGTAAGCTAGGTGGTCTTCTAGCTTAATGTGTTTTAAGTAGAGAAATTGTAAAGGAATGAATTAGATGATTTTATTCCTTTAGGAGCCATAGTTTATATACATGAATGGGCACTTGCAATTTTGTTAAAATGTAATTTAAAAGGAGAGTTAGTTTCCCAATTAACTAAACTGAATTTTCATTTAGGTATATAACCCTCTTTTCAGTTGAATCAAGTATAACAAAATCTCATTTTTTTCCATATTCTTTTTCTCTGACTCTAATAACTCTCCATAGCTCATAGTCTGTGACTCTAACAAATTGGCATCAAGAGCCAGGTTTGATTTCTGCTGCAGAAGAAGGTTTGTAAGTGTGATTGAAATTGTGACATCATCAATGGCAGGATCAAGCAACAATGGTGGTTTGCCCGGTAATCTACCCATTCTTGATGGCAAGAATTGGGCTAGATGGTGTATTCAAATGAAGATTCTTTTTTATTTCCAAGATTTTGTGGAGATCATCAAGATTGGCTTGAAGGAACCGAGTGAAGATTTTGTAGAAGTAGTGAAAGCAACTTATAAAGAGTCAAAGAAGAAGGATTTTAAGTTGCTCTTTTTAATGCACAGTGTGTCAATGATGACAATTTTGAGAAAATTTCCATTGCTACTATTGCCAAGGAAGCATGGGAAACTCTTGAGAAGAGTTATGCCGGTGATGGGAAGATCGAGAAGGTGAGGCTTCAATCTCTTAGAAGACAATATGAGTTGTTTTAGATGAAGAACTCAAGAAGGTATCTAAGTAGTTTACCCGATTAATCACTCTTGTCAATCAAATGAAATCATATGGAGAAACTTTCAAGAATCAAGTCTTGATGGAGAAGGTGTTGAGAACTCTCACTCCCAAGTTTGATCATATTGTGGTGGCCATCGAAGAATCCAAGAACTTGGAAGAAATGAGTGTTGAAGAACTACAAGGTTCTTTGGAGGCTCGTGAGATGAGATTAGTTGACAAAAGAAGTGAGAAATCAACAAATCAAGCTCTTTATAACATGTCAAAAGGTGGAGGGGGCACTGATTAGAGGAAAGGTAAGAAAGGAAAGGATAAGTTTCATCAACAAGATTGGTCACACAAGAAGGATTAGTAAGAATCTGATGAGAAATCAAAGTGGCAACAAGAATGGTAGTGTAAAAGGAAAAGGGAAGAAACATAATGGTGAGAAAAGCAAGATTGTGTGTTAGAATTATGAAAAGAGGGGTCACTTTGCTTCTGAATGCTGATTTGCTAAAGGAAAGCCGAAGACAAATAAAAATGATGCAGCTCACATGGCTCAGGAAGATGAGTCAGAAGAGGAACCTGTATTGTTGATGATGACAACTTCCAATGAAGATCCTAGGTCTGAAATCTGGTATCTTGATATTGGATGTTCCAATCACACGACTTGTCATAGGGATTGGTTGTGTGATTTGGATGTTTCAAGGAAGAATAAGATCAAATTTGCTGATGACAGAACTGTGTTAGTAGAAGGAATGGGAAATATACTGATCAACAAACCAAATGGAATGAACTGCAATCTAATGAGTTTTAGGCAGTTAATTTAGAAAGATTTCTCTGTGGTAATGAAGCAGAACAAACTTGAACTATTTGATATGAGCAAAAGGTTGATATTAAAGACTCCTATCTCTAATAATAGGACTTTTCAAGTAAACCTTCATGGAGTCAAAACTGAGTGCTTGGCAACTGAAACAACTGAGGATGGTGGTTGGCTTTGGCATTGGAGATTTGGACACCTGAATTTCAAAAGCTTGAATGGTAGCAAAGGCATGGTGAAAGGTCTACTTGATATTGATCTACCAAGAAAAATTTATGAAGATTGTCTTCGAGTATACTTAGATGTATGTGGTCCATTTGAGGTACCTTTCTTAGAAGAAAACAAGTATTTATGCTCTTTTATTAAATATAGCAGCATGATATGGATCTATTTGATCAAACAAAAGAGTGAGGTGTTTGAAGTATTCAGGTAGTTCAAGGCCATAGCAGAGAGGCAAAGTAGAAGGTTGATCAAGTTTCTAAGAATTGATGTGGAAGTGAATACACTTCTAATGAATTGGAGCAATTCTGTGAAAAGGAAGGGATAAAGCATGAAATCACACCTCTATACACTCCTCAGCACAATGGTTTGCCTGAGAGAAGAAATAGAACCATACTTAACATGGCTAGATGCATGTTGAAGCAAAAGTGTCTACCACATGAGTTCTGGAAAAAAGTTGTCTCCACTACAGTATATGTTCTTAATAAATGCCCAACCAAGAAGTTGGTGGATCAGGTTCCAGAAGAAGTATGGTGTGATAAGAAACCCTATGTTGGTCATTTAAAAGTCTTTGGCTTAGTTTGCCACATGCATATTCCTAATGAGAGGAGAAGGAAATTACAAGATAAGAGTGATGCGATGATTCTAATAGGATATCATCCTACTAGTGGTTACAAACTATATAATCCTATATCAAGGAAGATCTGCATTAGTAGGGATGTGGTGTTTGATGAAAGATAAGTCTTGAAGTGACCAATAACTGGTGAAAAGAAACAAGTCTCACTAATATCTCCAAACAGTTTTGATGAAGTGAATTTTGATGATTAGGAAGGTATAGATCCTGAATTGGATCAAGCTTAGGATACATTGACTCAAGGTGTAGTCCCTAGGCTTCAAAGATCGAGACAAGTCTCAAGAAGACTAAAAGGTTTTGAACTGTTCACTGATGTAGATGTCAATGATGAAGGTGAACTACTGCACTTAGCTTTCATGTCAGATGTAGAACTTGTTAGTTTTGAAGATAAAATTTAGAATGAAGTCTAAAAATCAGCCATGAGTGAAGAATTAAGGTCAATAGATAAAAACAAAACCTAAGAGTTAGTAGAATTACCAATAGGAAAAAGGCCTATTGATGTCAAATGGGTCTTTAAGTTGAAGATGAATACTGGTGGAACCATCACTAAGCACAAAGCAAGGCTTATTGCTAGAAGGTTTTTACAGAAGGAAGGAGTTGATTACACTGAAGTCTTTGCACCAATAGCTCAGATAGAGACTATTAGGCTTGTGATAGCTCTAGCAAGTGGAAAAAAATTGTCACTCCTACAACTTTATGTTAAATCAGTATTTTTGAATGGACCTCTTGATGAAGAAGTCTATGTCACACAACCACCAGGATTCATAATAGAGGGCAAGGAAAGGATGGTCTATAAGTTGAGAAAGGCTTTGTATGGACTTAAGCAGGTTCCAAGAGCTTGGAATAAGAGGATCGATGGATTCTTGTTGAAGCAAGGTTTCTGCAAGTGCACTGTTGAGTATGGAATCTATATTCAAGAAACAAGAAAAAGTGAAATGTTTCTTTGCTGCCTATATGTTGATGATATGTTGATCATTGGCAATTACCACAAGTTGATAAAAAGCTTCAAGCAGAAATTGATGAAAGAGTTTGAGATGACAAATCTTAGTGAGCTAGCCTACTTCCTTAAAATGGAATTTGTTAGAATTGAGGAAGGAATCATCTTGCATCAAAGAAAATGTGTTACTATCATGCTAAAAAAATTTGGAATGTTTAATTGCAATCTTGCAGCTACACCTACTGAAGCAAATATGAAGCTCTCTAGCTTAGGTGCAAGAGAACTTATGGATAGCACTAGGTACAAGCAAATTGTTGATTCTTTGAGGTATCTTTGCAACAATAAACCTGATATCTGCTTTGCAGTTAGCTTG